TACTTTTTTTCCTCATTTCACTCCCTTTATGGCTAATCCCATATTGTAATTATAACATCTTGAATGTCTCCTGAGTGGGTGAACAAGAAGCAACCGTAAGCGTGAAGTAGTTGAGGGGATTTCGGTCATTTTTCATAGAAGTGATTGATCAATCGGAGAAACTGAGCCCCAAAAAGCCTTGGTGATCTTCTCTTCCAATAACAATATCTAAATAATTCATGATTCTAGGAAAAATGTGTGGGGTTTGTCCCATTGAAGGATAATCCTAGCCCTAAATATAGTTATTTGATATGGATAAAGCTACTTTGTTAAAAAGGATTTGACAAAAAGCTTCACATATTTGCATGTGATAGTTGATGATTGAATAAAAAAATTGAATGTGTCTTATGGCCTGTTCAGTAATGATTATAAGGATTGATTTTCTAATCGTTAGAGAGAAAAGTGAATCAAGTGAAGAAGTCAAAAGTAATTGCTGGAATAGTAAAATAACAGTAAAAAAAAATAGATTTTATGAGGTGAAAAATTGCTATCAAACGGGGGCTTAAATTGTCCAATGATAAAATGTCATGTGATATTATGTCAACTTTGATGTTCGTGTAGCATGATTGTATCTTATATAAATCATTCGTGATTCATGCACATTATTAAGTATTTGGTAGGAGATTAGATAGTATTGATCAATATATAAAAAATAAAATTAAGCCAAATTACTTTCCAAAATGTGATTACTCCATGTTAGCATCGAGTTTTACCAATCTCATCTGAAAAGTAATTCGTATCCTATGAAGATAGGATAAAATACATTTTATGGTGTTCTATTACTATCATTTGAGCGACCTGACTCATGGGCTTAGGAGTGGCCTTGTTGCACCACAACAGTCACTCTCTCAATATGATATTCTTGCGACTTGAAAGCATGACCTTAACTTTCATACTTTTGTGAGAATATGCTAAACCTTTTATGTCATTCGATCTCCATCATTTGAGTAATCTACAATGGACTTAAGAACGGTATTGTTGCATCTGATACAACTGACATAATTGTTGAAATTAGGGTTTTCCAACCAACGAATACTCGAGTTTATCGTGTAACCCTAGAGGGCATGTAGCCGAAACCTGAACATGCCTGTTCCCTAATATATTGTACCACTAACCTCTCTGTAAACAAGTTTCTCTGCTTGACTTCACTGTGACCATAGATTTTGCACGTCATCAATAATACTTTGAAGGTCCCATGATTCATCTACTATACCTGTTACGTATTGAACGACATATTAAAATCAATATTAATAAGTGACGTGTTTTCTGGTGTGATTCAGAATTGATAGGCCAAGATGAACCTTTTTTGGCAATACAATTTTTTCGTCAATGCTCAAGTTCGGTTTCCATTTTCAATGTTTGAAAGGAAGTAAGGACTTTTGAATGTGTAATTTTGTTGTACCTATTCCATAAAAAAGCTTCAAATATTGTTTGTTTAATTAGTTGCTTCAAAAATCCGAGTGAAACATGACACACTCTCATTGGTCCAAGTGTCTAGTCGTAATCTAGTTGATAGCAAGCTATTGACACGAGTAATTCTATTCAATCCTACTGATGATAAGCAACCATTTAACTGTGAATTAATTGATTGAACATCTTACATATGAGTGATTTGTTCCTCGGCTCGTGCCCGCAGTTCGTTGGGATGTGAATCAAACTGATTCATGCCGACGAGCGACTCACTTCATTTAACACACTTAAAACGAAATTGAGAATTCAAGACTTTCTAAGATAAGAGTACTATCAACGTTTATTATGATGTCAATGTAATAGGCCAACCACGAATTGGAATTCACTTTAAACCAAACACCTTTTGCTCCAAAGTCCATCTATCCACGCGGTAGGGTTCTCATGTGGATACGAAGAAACGAGCTGTCAAGTTCATTTATCGAAATAATGAAAAAGATTGAACAGTGTAAATGGAATACAGAAGAGGTCTCTTTATTAAAATCAGACTGCCATTGATTGATTATGAGTTTATATGATTGTCTCTGAACATTATTGGCGTTTGCTTTATACTTTTATATGTGATGACCCAGTCTTGTGATCATTTAATAAATTAAATGAAAAATTATATGCTAGTTCTTTGGATTGGATTTTTCTACTTTTGCATGAAACGAATTGCATTAAACAGTGAAGGCTTCTGTTGTTCTGTGATCTGAGTGAGATTGCTGAAGTTTCATTAATTTCTGCTGGCAGAGTTGTCTTCCCTTGAAAGCTCGTCGACACTTTGAGCTGTATCCTATTTTGCAATTTCTTTAAATATACAATAATTTACCTCTCTATAAAAAGAATATATGCAATAATTTTTCCAATGGAATAATCATAGATAATGTGCTTAATATTTTTAATTATGTCACAATTTAGGGTTCTTTAGTGCAGTTTTTGATCGTTTTGAGATAATAAGCTATGTTGGAGCATGGCTAGTCTTGTTTATTTATTTTATGTCTTCCTTTTTTCGAATTTATTATAATATAATGATCTATGCTTTCTTAAATAGGTTGAACATCATGGTTAACACCAGAAAGAAGGCTGAATTCAGATGATATTGCAATGCATGTGGAAGACACAAGTTTAGAACAGCAAACCACTGCAACATCGATAGGAGAGTCTCAGCAAGTCAAAAAAGGAAGACTGGCCATACCGAAATGGAAAACTTGAACGAAATTATTGCTCTAATTGAAGTAAAGTTTAGTGAGGTGGGACAATCATTATCTGTAAAGGATCCAATGTGTACTGTTAGGATCCATTTGATAGGGTTTCTGCTTTTTACAATGTTTTGAAAATCGGACCGGACATTGACATAAAAAAAAAAGGGAAGGGTCAATGGATTGAACCGAGGTTGAACAGGAATTGAACCGGTCGACAAAAATATTCAAAAATATCCTTTTTAAAAAAAATAAAAAAATCCAAATGTAATTATCATCATATAAGTTTCTTGATTTTGGGAATTGAGAAAGATGGTCATTACTGTTACCGAAAGAAGAACAGTGAAGACGAAAGAGAAACGACACAAAATCAACAGTTTGAAGATCTAAAAGTAGAAAGCAAAAAAAGAAAAAAGAGGATATAAAATAAAGCAACAAAAATTTCTTTCAACCTCATCAAAGGTAAGCTGAAAATGCTAAGGATCACTTCTAGATCTAGGAAAAAATTGACAAGTGGCCGGATTTTTTT